ATGGGAAAAAATCCCTCAATTACCCACAGCTTAAAAATTTATCCCACGAAATTCCCAACGAATTTAAACATATACATGTTTCTGTAGTAAAGAAGTAAAATCCATTAAAATAATAATAATAATAATTGGCGCTTACACATATGTGCTTCTCCTCCAATTTGTGGCGTGCCCCTTGTCACACAGAGGGGAGGGACCTACAGTAGACTGGGTCGGTCCCCATACAAAAAAAAAAAGTTGCTAATGTCCGCCCCTAAATTTAAAGATTATGTTGAGAGGGTTCTGGAAAAATTTTTTTTTTTTTTTTTTAACCCTCCGAAATACAGCCGAAATGGTTTTTTCGTTGTAACTTGGTTATTTGACGGCCGATTTTTAAAATTGATATGTCATTATTTTTGTCTTGAGAAGCTTCACTTTTCGTTCTTATGTCTTTTTAAGCTTTGAAGTCGCGTTCGCATGATAAGGGCAGAAACAAAATTTTACCCCCCCTAAAGTATATTTTTTTCCTTACCAAACGAAAGTACTTAAAAATTCAAGAAAATGTTGCCTTCAAACTATATTACTAAAATAATAAACAAAGGAGTTATAGCACTTTTAATATCACAGGTCAACATGAGTTTCAGATGTAAGTATAATAACACAGTACAACAAAAATTGATTTTTTTTATGCAACAGAGTAACCTAAATTTAAGGATTATGTTGAGAGGATTTCGAAATTTTTATTTTATTTTTTTTTTAACCCTTCGAAATACAGCCGAAAAGGTTTTTTCGTTGAAAGTTGGGTATTTGACGGCCGATTTTTAAAAAGATTAAAAAGATTTAAAAAGATTTAAGCTATGAAGTCGTTTACCCATGGTTAGGTCAGCTAACAAAATTCGCCCCCACAAATTCCTCCAACAGTTTTCTTAGTTGGAAATTTAATCTCACTGCTTTCGTACCAATTTAGGTACATTTTTGCTACGATTTTTCCCAAATTCATACTCTTTGTTTTCGTCGCATCAGCAACCCGGGGAGTGCAAAACTGACGCTGTCAATAGCGAGCTAACCTCTTGTAATTTAATCATGCCAATAAATTTTATAAATTGTGGAAGTCAAAGTAAATAAGTGAGTCAAACCTGTTGTTTCGTATTGATAATAATAATTTATAATTAATACCATAAATTGTGCTGGTGAAATAAAATTAAAAAGTGACTTAACAGTGTGTGCAATTTAAAAATGGCTTTCGTTAAGCGCGATATTGATATTAAAATGTTACCTACGAAACGTGGTGTTATTGAATATTTTTTGTTCCTTAAATATTACGGCTCTGCAAGTGTTCCAAAAAATCGAAGTCTCAACGAATATTTGCCAATAGTTATGAACACAATTTCAAAGTTGTGGCAGCAGGCAAACATCCCTATAGTTACAAGAACTACGCTCCGGAGAAACATTGAAAGCCTCCTTCAAAGTTATTACAATGTAAAAAAACATCCTTATGAATATAATGATCAGGAATGGAATAAAATATTGTTAATTTCAAAGTGTAAGTGCATTATGGACTTAAATCGACAATGTGATTGCCCTAGTGCAAGTAGAGTTCCAACCGCGGTAAATGACTTTCTTTATGATCAATGCGGGCCAAGGCTTTTGTCATTAGATAGTGGGCTTGATCATACTAGAACTGACAATTGCTCGCTAGAATGTAATGTTGAAAATCACACTGAAACCGCTGCAAGTTCGATTGGTTATGTGCCTAGCTCAAGTGAAGACGATGAAGCAAGTGAAGAAGTCACACAAAGTTTAAAAGTATCTGATTTGTCCTTAAAAAATTATTGCTCGGCGTTAGATAGGACGGATACTTCAGATCGCTTTGGATCATTGCTTGCTACAATGCTAATAAAAGATTTGCAAGCTGCGATTGCTACAAAAGTAAAAAAGGATTTTAAAGAAAACACAGCGGATAAAATTATGAAATATTTTGATTATCTGGTCATTGACAAAAATAAAATTTCACGCGAGCGTAACAAATGTAGAGCACAAACTGAAGCAGCAACAAAAACTGGCACTGATCTTAAATGCATTTCGTATGATGGTAAACAGGACGTAACACTAAAAAAAAAAATAGTTCACGGTAGCGTAAGAACAATGCTTCTAAGAGAGGAGCATATTACAATTTTGAAAGAGCCTGATTCGAAATTTATTGGATACGTATCTCCAAAAGAAGGCACTGGGGAAGCAATCCAGCAAGCAATAGTAAGCTTTTTGAATACCCAAAAATATTGCTTAAACGAACTTGTAGCTATAAGCTGTGATGGTACAGCTGTGAATACTGGATATAAAATTGGAGTAAATGCACAAATGGAACGTTATTTACAAAGGCCCTTGCAGTGGAATGTGTGTTTGTTACATTTCAACGAGTTGCCTCTAAAAAAGTTGTTAACGCATTATATTGGCAAGCAGAAAGGACCTGGTGTTTGGCCAGGGGTGTTGGGGTCTGAAATGATGACTTGCACCAAATACCCGGTAGGTTGTCCACACTATAATAGTTAATGTTATAAACAAAAACATATATTTTCCTTATCAGGTTGTAAGTGGTTTTGAGGCTATTGCTATGGGAGTTATTCCTGAAAATATTGGCTCTTGGGAATTACGCAATGATCAGCGTTATTTATTTGATATGGTTTTGGCAGTAAATAATGGTGAATGCGATGAATATCTCGCTAGTAAGAGCCCCGGTCCCGTCAGTACAGCTCGGTGGCTTACAACAGCTTCCAGGTTACTTCGGGTATATGTTTCCAAAGAAAGCCCGTCAGCGGAGTTGCGAAACATGGTAGAGTTTGTTGTGAAAGTTTATGCACCATTCTGGTTTCTTGTAAAGAGCCAGCCACAAGCAATTCATGGAAGTAGACACGTTTTTAAGTATATTTGCTGGATACGCGAACTATCAAATGCTGTTCAAGCCATTATACGTTCAGCTATAGAAAATAATGCATATTATTTTCACCCAGAAAATATATTATTAGCCATGATAACCGACGCTGATCCAGAGATACGTAATGATGGGTACGAAAAAATCAAAACAGCACGTCAATATCCACCAGCAGGGCTTCGCGTGTTCAAGGTCCCAAAGCGTGGCGTAATAAACTTTGAAAGTAAGTCGTATGTCAGCATGATCGATTGGAGTCAGTTTAAGATTACGGAACCCCCTTGTGTGCAGTTCTACCCAGATAGTGAACTTACAATGTTTCAATTTTCGGAAAATGAAGTGATAAATATCCCAGGTAAATATCTTCAAACTAAAAACTTCACGGGGCTTATAGTACTTTTAAATCATTTTTTTTTAGAGTTCCTCTGTCATTCCCAGAATACCGAACGGTTTGTGCGTGTTGTTAGTGAGTCTGCAAGTGCTGTCACTGATGAAAAGCGCCTGGGCCACATTTTGTAGGTCCTACAGTTTTAAGCCGACTCCGAATAGCGAGTGTATTTTTATGAGAAGCTGTATTTCATGGCAGGAATACACTCGGAGGTTTGACATTGCCTGCCGGGGGCCGACCGCTGTTAAGAAAAAAACCCTTTTTCTGCATTTTTTTCACTCATTCATTTTTTCACTTTCATTTTTTTGCTCACTCACTTAAAAATTGAAGCACATTCATGTGGTATTTAACATTTCATCAGATAATTTGTTCCGCTTTTTACATGAAACACCAGTTACAACTGAAAAGATTCTTTCTTACTCAGCGCTTCAATTGGTTAACGTAAGAAAATTTTCGAAATTGTCCTTATACTTTTTAACCATTATATACCATTTCATTCCACATCACATCTTCAGAAAGATTAATTACGTAAGAATGTCGAATATTCTTAAATTTGGATCAATTATGCAACAATAACTGCATCAAAAGAAAATCCCTTATTTATTTGAAATGTCCCTTTTTTCCCTTTTAATAATTTTTGTTGCAAAATATCCCTCGAATAGGGAAATTACTCACAATCTGGCATCACTGCACACAGCCTATTAAAGATAAAAGACATCCGATCAACAGTCAGTCAGCACGAGACTGTGGTCGTGAACATACGGCTACTGGCAAGAAGTGATTTCTTCTGCACCGGCTCGAGCATCCGGCTTGATTCCATTTCTGCAACAGCTGCTGGTAGGGTGATTTCTTCTGCTCCGGCTCGAGCGTCGGGCTGGACGTCACCTTCCCAGTGGCAGCGCCACAAGCTACACTCGCTCTCACCACAGCCTCTCGTGAAACCGCGTACGGGCGA